AGGTAAGCTTTAGCTGGGCGTGTCAACGGCCTGGTCTAAACGAAACGACAGTCAGAAAAACAGCTGTGAGGCATAGAATACTCATAGACAGAGCGGAAAAAACAAAATAATAATAATATTTTAGAGAGCCGGTACTTGGAATCCGATGGGGATCGAAGTGGAATGTGGGCCCTCCGCCGAAACAGAACACAAACTACTACATGTGAGGAAAATAAAAACAACAAGACAGCAACGATATATCCGAGAAATATATATAAGGCTTTGGGGCGCACGCTGCTTCTGGCCGTGCTCATATGGCAGCAATTTACATAAAACCCGCAAAACCAGTTTTTTTTTTATAAAGTTTCAAGTTCCAGCTTGGTCGGCAGACAAAAAGAGACGGCAATGCAGGGGTAGAAAGAGACGGTCGCTTTAAGCGCGCGTTCTTAAAACATTTGCCTGCACTTTGGCTTATGGGAAGCAATTTGTAAAATTCTCACTGCTCAAGCATTCGAGTGGATTTCCTATGGGTAAGTTATGACATTGAAATAACAATTAATTGACATGGCTTTGGCTTATGTTGGGTATCCAATTAGAAAATATAGGGTTTTCTAACAAGAAGGGGTCGGAAATTGGAAAACAGGAATTTAGAGCTTAATGTGGAGCATTCAGAAAACATTTGAGGAAGTATTTGATTGGCAAAATGTTCGGTAAACCAAAGACATGTTGGGAGCCTCATTAAAATTTGTATTGCTTTCATTTTATTGAAGTTCGATTTAAACTAAATTGATTTCTCTCGAAATTTCTAGAGGTTTTATTAAGACTTTTATAAAGAAAGTACCTCTGTCTTGCGGAAAAGTTATATTTATAAGATTAAACTTGTATTCATGGTCAAAGTTAATGCTTTAGAGTCTTTTTTCAAGGGCTGATAATAATTTATTAAGAATTGAGTTCAAGCACCAATAAAAATATATTCGATTTTTAGATAGTAAACGAGTAATAACTTGTAGTTAATATATCGAAACAAAAATTGTGAAAGTACGACCAAAGTAAATGATTTTTTTTAAGCAACAAAAAAGGAATCAATGAATAGAAACATGTTTTTAAAAGTCAGATTAATTGCCTAAGATATCTTCACATTTCCGAGAACATTTTCAAGTTTCTATAAAAAAAATAATATGTTATTAAGTTTTTAATTTGGAAACTAATATTCCGGTATTTCGTATTAATTTACATCGATACTTTTATAAGAAATTGTTTATAAACATTAAACATTTTAGTGAACTCATAGATGAAACATTTTTTAAGGATTTTAGTGCTTTGCCTCTCTTAGAACTCCCCAGTACGTTCTCCGAATCTTCAGAGATAATCCCCAGAAAAACTCAAGACCCCAAGAACTCAAGAACTTACCCATAGCTCGGTGCCCCAACTCATGTTGCTGGAGTTTTGCGCTGTGTTTTCCGATTCGGCCAGTTTGTTGTTGCTGCTGCTTCTGCTCGATCCGCTTGCCACTGTTGTTGTTGTTGTTGTTGTTGTCGTTATAATAATAATCCACAGAAGATAATGTAATCCACAGGCGATGGGGAGAGAGGGAGAAAGCGAGGGAGAAGATGAGAACTTTTATACGTTTTTATTATATTTTCCCGCAAAGGTTAATTAATTTTATAGTTGCTTTTTCGTTTTCATTTTCCGTTTTTTTTCTCTCAGCGTTGCGCGACGCGATGTTTAATTTTCTATGAAAGAGAGCAATTCGAGTCATATATATTTCATTTATGTGTTTTTTTTTTCGGTGGTTGGGCAGGTAAGAAAGCATGTAAAAAAAGAGTGGCAATGCAGACGTGTCAGTTGCAGCGGCAGGTAGAAAAAAAGGTGAAATGATAAGTAATGAGAGTTAAAACCCTGCTTTTGGGGGATTTTTGGAGTTATATTTGGGTTTTCTAAATAGGAAAATTCTATGCACTGGTATTTCGCTGCGCAAAGAGAGAGAGGAAAAGATAAAGGGAGAGAGAGAGAGGGAGAGTGGGCAATGCAACTGCATTTCATAATTGAGAAAAAAGAGAGGACAATTGGAACTCTACAATTGTTGTATTTACATAATTTCGCACACAACACACACGCACACTCGCACACACAACTAACAACAATTGCCGAGTGCACGCACTCTTCTTCTTCCACCGTTTTTTATATTTTTTGTTTTATCTTTTTTCTGCATTTGCAGTTGCAACTTCTTTCATTTTCTGGTTTTATTTTACGCTTGCACTTCGACATGCGTCATAATTCGGGCGACATTTGCACACACACAAACACACACAGTGGGAACACCCGCACTCACACAACGCAAGCATTTGTTTCTCCTTTTTGGCGTGCGAAAAACAATTTTATCCGCTTTTCAATCGCAACTATCCGCTCGTTGTTTTCACGTCAATCTTTTTTCCGAAATTAAAAACGCGAAATCGAAAAGGAGAGACCATATCAGGGTATTTTCATATTCCACATTTCTCTGCGGTTGGCGGATGGTCACATCTGAATTCGATAACTCTCATACGCTTTGACTTGAGGTCGATTACAGCTATCGATAGTTCAGATGTCGGTCATGTTTTTAGGCCGTTCATTTAAAATACTTTAACATCTAGCTTAGCTTAAGCTTAACGGGTTTCTATATTTTTCATGGTAAAAAATGAAATCTGTTTATTTGGTTAAATATTTTAAATTTATTATTATCATCTAGTGGATTGTTTAATAGTAATAATAATTAAGTTAAATAATGAGATGTTAAAAAACAATTGTATTTATATATATATAAATTTGGAGCTCTACATTTATTAGTATTTACTTTAAGAACTTTAAAAAATAATTTTGAAATAATTTTCCAAATGTATAACATTATAACAATGTATTTATATTTCAGTCTCCATTACTTTGTATAAATAACTGAAATGTTTAAGTTTTCATGATAATTTATTTTATCCCACTGTGCAGTATGACCGTATACGCCAGGCCTTAGAAACTTTTTCCATACTTTTATTGCAACAGCTGTTCGTTCCGTATTATTATAGTTCCGCCTACATTTTAATGAATTAAAACTTTCAATTTAAATCCGCAAATATTATATTAAAACGCGTAATAGCTACCACTATCCACCAACCACAATGCCTTCCTACGAATTAGCCCTGGTGCTGCGCCAGTTGCCTCGCGTGAGTAGCACATGAAATCCACCGGCAGTTACATAAAAGTAAATAAGAAATATGTATTCCCCAACAGCCCGAACTGATTTCCGTGATCAAGAGGACTGCAGAGTCCATTCTGGATAAGGGCGGGATTATCCGGAAGCTGGAGAATCTGGGAACCCGTGCCCTGCCACACAAAGTCAGTGAGCATGGAGTGGTTCATCGCGAGGGCACCCACTTTACCATCGCCTTCGATACGGCGCCCACGAGGATTGCCGACTTGAAGGAGGAGTTCGGCCGAGACATAGACATCATTCGTCGATACATCTTTAAGGTGACGGAGCCCGAGGAAAAGCCCTGCACCCTGCACGACGAGATGCTGCCGCCCGCCTACCGCAAGGATGTCCAGGAAATCATTGCGGCCGCCCAGAAAAAGCAAAAGAAGAAGTACAACTACAACTCCGGCTTGGACTACTATCCCTTCCAGAAGTAAACCCCGAATAAAGCTGAATAACTATTTAAACCCAATCAGTGGAGTCCGTCGATCTTTGGCTAATTTAAACTGAAGTGTTTCTTATGAAATGCCCTGCTTATCTGGGCATTTTGCACAGTGTTTGTCTTTGTTTAGTTTACGGCCCCCAATCGGACGCTTATCAGACAATTGATAAAGCTCCGTAAAATTCGACCATCAATAGAACGTAGATTGGGCGGCTAGTGCCCCAGGAAACGCTGAGCAGTTCACTAGTACTTCCTCTAGATCCAAGAAACGAGCAAGAAATGGCACCGCAAATCCGCCCACTCACGCCAGAGCTGCAAAAGTTGGCCAATGAGCAGCTGAAGGAGGATCCCGATCGTCTGGAGGCTGATCTGCAGGCATTTAAGACCTGGATCGAGCAGCAGCCTCATCTGAATCCGCGCATGGATGATCAGTTTCTGGTGGCCTTCCTGCGTGGTTGCAAGTACAGTTTGGAGCGGGCCAAGGCCAAGTTAGATAAGTTCTACACGCTGAAGACCAAGTATCCAGAATACTTTAGAGTTACCAGCACCACGGAGGGCAAGTTCCGGGAGATTCACCAAACGGGGTAAGGAATATTATAAGGAAAACCAAGGGAAATGTGCACTTATTCGTTTCTTGAGCAGGGCAATTATCTATCTACCCACTCCCCTTAACGAAACTGGACCACGCATCGGCATCTGGAGGATGGGCCTGTGTCCCGTGGAAAAGTATCACATCCTGGAGGTCATGAAAGTGGCCCAGGCCATGCAGGAGATTGCCATTTTGGAGGACGACTACGCCAATGTTAATGGAGTAGTTTTTATCATGGACATGAAGGATGCTACTGCGGCGCACATGTTCCAGATGACTCCATCCATGGCCAAAAAAATGACTGTGTTTTCCGAGGAGGCTCTTCCGCTACGTTTGAAGGCACAACATTTCATCAATACCATCACCGGATTCGAACAGATTTTCAACATGTTCAAGCCCATGATGTCCAAGAAGATGCAGTCACGACTCTTTGTGCATGGCAACAAAATGGATCAGTTGACGGAGCAAATCCCATTAAAATATCTTCCGGTGGAATACGGCGGGGAGAATGGCACAGTGCCGGAAATTTTGGCCGCTTGGGAAAAGAAGATGGATTACTACAACGACTTCTTCAAGGAGAATGCCAACTATGGAACTGATGAGAGCCTGCGGCCGGGAAAACCCATTGATTTTGAAGGGCTCTTTGGAATCGAAGGTTCCTTCAGAAAGCTCAACGTTGATTAGTTTGAAATGTTTAGGCATTCTTAGTCTTCTCGCCTAATATGAATTGGATATGTGGAAAGGAAAGACTTTTTCCTAACCTTTTATCAAGTTAAAAGCTCTATATTTAGCTATTTTTACACAAATGCAATAAATTGGCATTGGAAAAGAAATAAATGGTATGCTATCCTGTTGTACTCAGATAATCCTCCTTAGAATTAAACCTTGAATCATTATCTGTAGAAGCAAATCTTTCGCTGCCACTTAGTGGGAGTGGACTCGAATATCTTCCTTCGGTCGAGAGTATCTTCAAGGTACTTTTCTATCCGCTGTTCCACATCAGATCGCCACTTTAGTTCTAGAAAAAGGGGAAAGACCTCTCCGGCCTTTTTCAGACGTTTTTCTGCTTTTTGGTAGCATTTCCAGGGTTGAGGTTCAACCACCAGCAGCTCTGCCAAGTTTGAGAGCTTCTTCAGAAACAATTGGAGGCCCTCATCATGGTGATTTAGATGAATCCACATGGTAATGGAGTAGCAGCAAATGGCATCGAACTTCTGACGATTTTGGGTGTCCAGATAGGTTTTTACACATTTGAAGGCATCATCATCTAGGACATCCACGCAGGCGTAGCTTATGTTTTCCGGGGATTCGTTTTCATCCAGGGCGCGTTGTATCAGTCGATGGTCTATATCTACTCCTAGAATTTTTACGGATCTCTGAAGACGTTCCTCCAAGTACTTGTGAAGCAGTTGGGTAAATACGCCGCAATTGCAGCCCACATCCAGGACAATATAAGGACTGCTTCCGGTTGATTCTCCGTCATCCAAGGAAGGTAACCATACATCTTTATCCGGGAGTAGTTTTACCCGATCGAGTGCTGAATTAAATTGATAGTAGTTGAAAAAATTCCCATATTGAACAGCGCCGGGATCGTTGTTTCTAATGTCCATTTTCGCAAGTTATTTATTGTTTATAAGCACGTTTAAAAAATATATTTCGATGGTGTGACAGTGGGCTGAAATACCAATATTTCAGTTCCCTCGACGAACTATTACGCCATCTATAGTAGCGTTTCCATATACGCCATCTACAACTTTAAGAGAGCCAGTGCTGAAAATCGTATTCTCCCTGGAAAAGCGCCAAATTCAAATGGAATCCCATCCCCCAATAAAACCCACCATACCTTATCATCATTTTTGCATTTATTTACTGCGTTCATTGTTTATATTTTTCGAAACGACTTTTCTATCTGCTTATATGGCTCTAACAATTTCCTTACACTTAAAAATCGATAACACTTGCCTTTTTGTGTGTAAATTAGTTTCGAACTATAACTAAATGTACAAAAGATCATCAATGAAATGTACAACAACAAAATATACACAATGTTTCGTTTTCGAGTTCGTTCATTATTTTCGCATTCGGCATGTTTGCGGCTAATATATCATCAATAATCGTCAATAATATTCAACTACAAACACTCGACTTGGGACCCTGGACGCTTCAACGGCAGGTCCTGGGAAACTGAATTTGACCCACTAAGGGAACTAGGCGAAATTATGGGTAACCCCACCAAATCGAAGCGTTCGGGGGCGGCCAAAAGGAAAATATGTACATACATCTGCGATTTTAACAACGATCGAATCTTGACACTAGCCTATATCCTTTCATTTTCTTTATTTATTTATATCGCTAAGAACTACTGGAAATGTTTTTTCGGGTTTCTTCGCCTTTGGATTTTAACATTTTTGCTGTGTTGAGTTTTTGTTTTTATTCGTTTAGTGGGCCTGGGTTTTTCGTTTCTAAAGCGCATTCGCAAAGCGTGCGAAGATTGAATTTTGTTAGAATTTTGAATTCTGCATTTCCGGCCCGTCGTCAAGTTTGGCAAATTGTTTAATAAACTCTACACGATTTTTTTGTAAAATTCTAAATGCTACTTAATATGGACTTTGAAAAAGGTATATACTTATGCATTCTTTAGATAATTATCTTGCTTCTTGAGTAGCATATGATTTTCGTATATTTGTTATATTTTTTTTGTAGTAGCAAGTTTGAACTGTAAACCGGAAACGGAAATGTTGTTCTTGCCTAGTGAATTGTCTCTTGTCTACGAATTAGAATTTGAATCGCTGCTACAAATACATATGGCTAGAGTTAAGTACAAGTATATACGTGGTAAGCTCATAAATACACAATAATAATCGTCAATCAATTCAATTCAATCAATCAATCAATTAATCAATCATAATTGGATACGCTAAAAACTCTTAGCTTAGCTTAGGTCTAGAAATATGAATATGTCTTTCAACGTGTCTGTGTTTTTGGTGTCTCTGTGTGGTTTTCTGTATGATTGGTGGTTGGGTGGTTGAGTGGTTGAGTGGCTGAGTGGTTGCGTATTTCAGTTTTTCAGTGGCTGTGTTTGGTTGGTGGTGCTTTCATTGGCATGTCGCGTAGCGCCAAACGGCCCGTAAATATGCAACTATATGGCAAACAGGCAAGTAAGTGTTTATATAGAGATAGAGATTGTTAAGGAAATGGCTCAATGCAATTACAACCAATTTTTTATTACTTGCAGGACTTTGTGGTTCTTCTCAAAGGGATGGCGGAAAGGGGGTTGGATGGGGGATTTTGCGGATAGTTATTTGAATTTTTTTTGAGGAGAATGAAAATCTAAATCTAACTCTAGTCATCTGGGTCCAACCCGATTAGCTCTGCTTGCAAACGGCCCTTAGTCTTACAACAAATGGTTAAGCAAAATACTCTCAAAGCGATACGGAATTGCGGCGACATACTGGTCATGATCAAAATTTTCCAAAACGAATTCAATATGCCGATCCAGACGACGGCGAAGTTGATAAGAGTACTTTGGATAACATAGCCCGTGACCACCTCATACAGACGCAACAGAATCCATGGCAGCCAGGACACCCAGAATGCAAAGACTAATGCGAATGACATCATATGACTAGGGTTCGATAAATTTTCAGCCAGAGCAGTTGCATATTCTTTATCGTGTATCGGCTCGCCGGACCTAATCTTACGCATCATTACAAAGATATAGCCGTAGTTGTGTACGATTGAAATGAGGCTGGGACCTAAGACTAAAATGGCCAGTGTGACAGTATACGCGGCCATGTTCCCCCAGTCCAGCATGCAGATGTGCGTCATGTTGTTCTCGATCGGCATCGAGTAGCCCAGAATTGGGGGGCAGCAGAGCAGGGCCGCCGATATCCAGGTGAACACCATCCAGCATTGGCATCTGCAGTAAATGGATCATAATATTGGAGATCAAAAAGATGGTAATAATAGGATATGATATAAAGAATGAACTCCTCTTAAAATAAGTAAAAAGATGGTAATAATAGGATATGATATAAAGTATGAACTCCTCTTAAAATAAAAGTATCTATTCTTTTTTATTCTGATCAAAAATATATAGAACTTTACGTGTTGTAGAAAATGTGTTAAATTATTTAAATAGATCAAAGTGTTATAAGAACCTTCTGATTATTTTTAATTTGGCATATGAAGAATTTTAAAACTAAAACTTAAATTTAGCTACACTTACATTTTTAAATGGCTTTACCAAAATTTAAAGTACATTGAAAAACATATCTTAAGAGTTGTTATTACCATATCACAAAAACTGAATTTTTAACACAAAGGATTCTACAAATTATCTTTAAAAGGGGCAAAATTATAATGAAACCATATAAGAAGTTCAATTATTACAATGTTTATGATTATATATCGAAGAAGTTTTGAAGTTTGATTTTAATATTTCTTAAACTAGGGATCTAGAGATCTCCCACTCACCTCGTCTTCGTCTGGACCGTTTCATATCGCAGTGGTTTCCGCACCGCCAAATACCGATCCACCGATATCCACATGAAGGTGTAGACAGACACCGCCCACAGAGTGACCTCCAAATACCCCGTGAAGCGGCACACAATGTCGCCGTACATCCATTCTCCAGTCAAAGCGGGATACACGGAGAAGGGCACCACCAGCAGACCGCAGAGCAGATCGGCAATGGCCAGGGACAACAGGTAGTAGTTTATCACCTCTGTGGGTCCTGTGGGCACAATTTGCATTAGCCAGTGAAATTATAAGGTTGTTATAAAATAAAAAACAAATGCAAACCATAAGTTCAAAATGATTCATTCAATAAATTGGTTGGGCGTGTCTATTTTTACGACATTCACTAGAACTATTTTATAGCCAAAGGTATTTTTCATTTATCCAATACATTGAAACAAAAATACATTAAAAGATAACATTTTTGGTCTATTATAGGTAAAACTTTGTGGGCCACAGATTCAAATCAATTAAGTGGCTTTAATAAATAATATATTTAAGCAAAATGGGTTCTTTAAATCGGTAATGCAATAAAGACAACAAAAACACATGACATTTAATTAGGGAAGATGCTGTTTTACTTCATACTCTTTCCTTTTAAGGATGCAAAACTAAACACTTAAATAAGATATAACACATATTTTTGTATGTTATGAAAGAAGAGTTCCTGAGACCAAACCTAACCGCGTTCAAGATGTTCCTGTTGAAAGCATTAATCGCATATTTGCGTGCAACGTACCCTTGAAGTTGGCATAGGTGGCGATGATGAGGAGGTTGGACAGGACGATGGCCACGCCCAGTATGGATATGAGCACCGCCTTGGTGAGGGCCTCAATCTTGGAATTATCCTGTAGGTAGCTCATTTCCTGCATTTTTAAGGGGCCGCTGGCGGGTGAAAGTGGCGCTCCTGTGCTCGTTGTTATTATTCCTGGTTTCTCTCTCTCCCTTGCCGCCTTCTTGTTCACCTGCTTTCACTGCTTTCTCCTGCTTTCTCCTGCTGCTTTCTAGGCGGCTCCTTGGCGGGCTGATTGTTATGCAAAGGCCAGTGGACGTGGACGTGACCGTACTTCACTTCCGGTCATGGCGGCCGCCCATGCAATTGTCCTGTGGACGTATGTGTGCTTGTGTGTGATTTCCTGTGTGTCTGGGTGAGTGTATGGGTGGGTAGGTATAGGTGTATTTGTGTCTGGCTGAGAGTGTTAGTGGCGTCCTTTATTGTGCAACGACGCTTGCACACGCGAAGGTCGTCGGAGTCCTTGGCGCTTTTTTCGTCCTTCTTCCACCGCTGGCGCCGAATTTGTATAAATTTTCTACTGCCTACTTTTGGGCTGTGCTTTGTGCTGCTGCCTACTTTTTGGCGCTGAGCCAAGCATTTGATTGTTACCCTTACAATCCTGCCGCCGTGGTTAAGGTTAAGGATAAGGTTCTGCCCGGGTGTAGGTGAGTTTTTATGTTTTTCAACGTGTGTGTTTGAAGCTCGTTTAAAAATTTAGCTTGGATTAAAATCTTACTTTTAAATTCTACTAATTGCGTACAATTTTTGTTCTAATTTAGAGGATCGTTAACCGTTTAATTTTTGGTTTATTTCTTTTTTTTTTGTTAAATTCACAACGCTCTTTGCTAAGTTTTAATGAACGTTAAACTGTTATTCGTTTGGTATTTAATAATTCGCTACTATTTTAAATATCGATTTAAAAATGTACACATTTCAAACTCGCAAGTGGAAGAATAATGATTATTATTATTTAATGTGTAATAATTACGCGGTTTTCGGGGTTGTTTTCGTGTTTTTTTTCGGTTTTGACTATAATTAAAGCACAGCACAAATGGTTTTGTTGTTTTGTAAGGCTTCTGTTGTGCTACATTTAAGTTGTTAAAATAGTTCGATAATAGTTCGGTTGTTAAGTATCGGCTTTGGTATTTTATTTCGCTGCTTGGTGATTGTGATTATCCTTTTGCTTGTAAATTCTGGCTGTTGTTGTTGCTGTTGCTCCTGCTCTCCACGTCCTGCCGTCAGTTTAAGCTAATTGTGCGCATCTGCAAGGACAAAGGAATTAAGTATAAATAATAGTTTATGAAATCTCATCCCATCTTGAGCCAATCAATAAATTATCCCACATACGGCAGCAGGCGGAAAGAGCCTTTTAGCTGCACAAACGCTTTACATAAGCGTGCTTATCCTGGGCCCGTCACTTGCCTGCTATTTCAGAGCCACCCAAACCAGCACCAGCACCACCCCCACCACCACCACCACCCACTTTTCCCGCCTGCAATGACCCACTTTGCGGTGCCACTTGACACAGTTTGAGAGCCATAGCTGTCACTGGCCGGCTGCTCAAACTGGGTTTGTCTCTCGAGGGCCTGGAACTGTTAAAAATCTCGAGGGGTCTGCGCTTTGGTCTCTATTTGCGGACCACCGTCATCGATCACGCCCACTCTATCCATATTTAACCGACCCCTGGCGAGTGCTGCTATGTTGGCTTTTTTTCGAATAGGTTTGGTGGTATTAAGGGGTTTAAAGTATAAAGATTATAAAAAAAATCCATTTTATATATTATATTCTACAGCTGCTAAAGATAATCTATTAAAAACGTTTATTAAATATTTTTATTGTGTGTTTAATTATAATGATCTAACAATTTTAATGATTTTTTAGAGCTCTTTATAATTTTAGGTACATTTTTAATTTTATTGTACGTAATATGAACAATCATATTATAATTTCAAACAATTTATCATCGATTTTCCCGATTAACCCTATAACTTTTAACTTGAATATTTGCCATTTGGTTTTTTTTTCAAATATTATTATTTGAATATATATCATTATATTATATTGTACACAATACAGAAAGTACCTACCTATATAAGTTATTGAGATTAGGTATTATTATTAAGTATTATCTACATCTACTTCTACTTTTTATGCAGTACAACATTTTAAAAATATTATTTTATACTTTCTAACGCAATAAATAAATACTTTACTGTACAACAAAACTAAATACATTTTGTAACCCATTTTAAAAATAGTCCCTGCTTTCCCTAATAAAGAAAAGGTAGCCTTTTTGCTTACTATTCAATTGTCACCACTGACTTACATCGCATCCTCCATCAGAGCAATCACTACGTCATCGTGCCATTTTCCACGCAGACACAAACACAAACACCATTATCAAATGCCATTAGACATCGACGGGGGTGCTCCATGTGCCCAAGAAGAAGGGATTGAGGGGGATGCCATTAGGGGGTGGCATTAGGGGATGTCGATGTTGAGTGAGGTAACAAGTTTGTCATTTGCGCACCCCTTTCGCCCCTCAACTTGGTAATTTAATTAACGATAACGGGGTAACGCTTCGGGTTCGACAGTCAGTCACTGGCCAGGTAATAAATATCAATGAATTGCATTAGGACACCTCTATCCTTCAGCCCAGCAAAACACCATTTTCCACCTGATTGTCAATCATTACGTAAGCCACTGCAGCTGATGACGGTAGCAGGGAAAACGTCATTTGTGCAAATGACTTCCTGGCCTACGACCCATTCAAATCCACTGGACTCCACGCCGGCGGTCCCCTCTGCAATTACGCTGAAATAACTGTTATTGCTGCCAACTCAACTGGACCCCTTCGCATAATGAGTGCCCCCCTTCGAAAGACCGGAAACTAAAGGCCCAGAAATGGGTTCAGCGAACCCTCAGCTCCTTTTCTCGGAAGGATAATCAATAAGCGCGGCCAGTGATTAATTATGTAAACATGTGCTCATTGTTCTTCGAGGGAACCGCTAACAAGCTGATGAGATTTTGATTGCCGCTGGGAAACGCAGGGCAGGTCATTAAGCCTTTGGAATAATTAAAAACAATATGTGGCCGGCTTTTCAGGGGCAGCTTTAGTCCTGCTATTTAAAAAAGGCAGTTTTTCAACGCACTTAAATATAGGGATACGGATTTGTGGATGCTGCAAGCTGTGGAAAATGAAGCCCGAGCTTCAATTCATAATTTAAGTGACCTACATAACTGACCATTAAAGCTTATGATGAATGCTGAACGAAATGAACATAAATATAAACATCAAAAAACAGCTAAGGCAATAATGAACCAACTTGAAAAGTGTCATAGTTTTTAGCTGTGATATAACGATTAATAAAAAGTTGGATTGCTCTACTGTTTTATCTGATTAGATATTTTTAAAGGCACTAGACAGAGTCACTTTCGAATCAATAAATTTGAAATATAGATAAAACTTAAATATTAAAAAAAAACTTGTTAATAATTTAATTGCAGAGTCTTGTCTTTAAATATAATAATAAATAATAAATAATAGCTTTATGAAGAACACTGTAAAAATGTAATGATAATCTTGTTCTAAGCAATCTTCAATTATATCCAATATTGAAAGCTAAGTTTTCTGGTAAATTTTATTTTATTTATGCACCCTTGATTATTAAATATTCTTTTATTTTAAAAGAGCAACGAAGAATTTCTAAGAATATATAAAATAAAGAATATTTAAAATATTCTTAGAAATTCTTCGTTGCTCTTTTAGCATTAAAAGAAACCAACTTTGAAAGCATGCCAAATATGTAACTGGCCTACATTCCCGAAACGCACTGTATGTTTGCACCCGACTTTCCGATGGCCTGTTTTCACTTCTTGTTCTGTAGATTTCCCAGCGTTCGGGCCCATAAAATATGTATCCCATGCGTGTTTTATGTCGCCTCAAACAACAAAAAAAACTTTGAGCCCGAAACGAAACACAAACAGAGCCGGAAAACCATCGAATGTGACACTGTCATAAAACCATATATACCCCTATATATTATCCAAATGTCAGGCAGGTGGGAAGTACGGGTAGGTAGGTAGGGGTACAAATGGGTGTGTATAAAAGTCACAGGATGGAGAAAAGCTTTTGGGCGCTATAAATAAACTTTTGGATGTCTACGTGTTTAAACAAAATTGCGAAATACCGCAACAAAGGCCAAGGCGAGCTGCAGGCCCAAGAAGAAGGATACTACCCGTTTGATGACGTTAGTTGTGTTGGCAGGAGGCCCCAGGACGAAAAGAGGGTGGACCGGTGGGTGGTGGGCGGTGGGTGGCTGGCTGGCAAGGCTGCTGCGAATGGGTGGGCGTGCCACGTCATCGTCGCCATCCACGTGGCTGCGTCTTTACATAAGCATGACCTCACCTTGGCTTTTATTTTCATTTCAGCACAGCGCCGTAGCTATTTTGTAATGTCTTATTCACCGCATTTACTTGTGGCCACCTGATTTGCTCAGTGCATCTGGCGGGGCGGCTGCATAATTTATGCATACGCATGTCAAATGTCGCATATGCCTGCAAAATGCTAGTCCTTCAGAGAAGGGGGCGGCGGTGGAGGAGAGGGGCGTGGTCCCAGGCTAGACTTGGCAGCTCCTGTCACTCAGTGGCTTAAGGACTTTGCAGGCGGTCCTGCAGCCTGTTGCTTCGCCCACCGCCCGCCGCCCACCGCTTACCGAGCCAAACTTTTGGCCACAAACTTTTGTCAACCCAAAAATGCCTGCAGGCAAATTGCAATTAAAGTGGGAGAAAGCTGGTAGCTCTGCCACAGAATGCAACAGTTCGGTCACAATAAATTACTGGGGGAAATTCAATATTATATTGATTATACCACCAATACTAGTATTTATTAAATATAATTTATTACCACCAATTGCAATTTTAAAGGATTAATATTAATAATATAAATTTGAACTTGAAAACAGATAAAAGAAAAGATATAAGAAAAGATATATGTTTAAAATTAACTTTCTTGTTGTAACTTTTAAATACATATTTTCTAAATTAATAGGGGAAGTCAATATACTAACTTGTCAATATACTATTGTTTTGTTTCCTTGCCTTAAACATTAAATAAAAGTTCCCAAAATATAAAACAACTAATTCAAAAAATACACAAATTTCAAATAAAACAGATGAGCTCTGCGTATTATTTAAGAATGCATATATATAAATATTTTTATTTACTAGCTGTGTTTATGTGACGTTTTTTATTTCTTATATAAACCAAACTTGGTTAAATAATGTCTGCAAAAATCAATAGCAATAGCAGGCTCCTCAGCCCAAAAGTGTCTGCTAAATGTGCCATCTGTGGCCAAACTCCATGTTGGCATAATAATAATGAGCAGCCCGAAAACAGTAATTTCGCCGGGGAACGTCATAAAAAAAAGAAATCCAATTTCCCTATGAAATGCCATGAATAATTTCGTCCCCGAAATAAATGTCGGCGGGGGGTGCGTGATTGGGCCAACTTAAATTCACGTGCTACCCGCTGTTATGGCCATAAACCGCATTGTGAAAATGCCGTACCACATGTCGTATACGCAATGCTTTTATTTGGGCCAATTTTGCGTTGCGAGGGCGGTGTGTGATGGAGTTTTCAGGGGGCGTGGCTCGGGCCAAGGACAAACAGCGACTTGGCGACGCGCGCGTGTTTTAGTTTTATATTGTTCTATTCCCCTCTGGGTTTTCTTAGTAATTCTGATTTCCCCTTGGATAAACTTTTTTTCTTTTTGGAATTAGCTTGAACATGGCGAAATGCAAGAGCTTGCAGATGTTGCACAATTGACAGGGTCACAGTCATGGGCTGTCCCCCTCTTCTTCTTCACTTCCACTTCCGCCCAACCCACTCGACCACGTGACGTATGCGTAATAAATAAGACTTGCGGCACTCGGCGCTAAGGACAATTGTATTGGCTCCTGATACCGGCTATATCCTAACACATACACACACACACTCTATCAAGCACTGGAACAATCGATCAATAAAAAAAAGCAACGACACGAAATTCATTTCAATGCTGCGACTTGACATTCAGTCAAGGCGTTCATTGTGGCAGTGTGGCAATAGCAAAGCCAGCCAGTCGGCCAATCAATACGGCAATGCATCAATTTGTCATTCGCGCCATGGCTCCTTAAATGCAGCAACTTGTTTATTTGTTGCTGTTATTTGCTGTCTGATTGATAAGCAAAGGGGAAGTGAATAGGGCCAATGGCCAGGGGG